AAATAAGAAAAAGTAGCGTGTATTCATTCTTTTTATGTAAAATCAACCACATTTCAATGAGGAAAATTTAATAGGTTTGCAATCATGCCAACCACAGTGAGCTATAATTTCAAAAAGTTATTATATTTTGTCAATTTGAAAAAAAATCAAAGAATATACTCTTGTTATTTAAAATGCAATTTTAAATTGCATTGTTCTTTATATGGAGCACATAAAGATTTTTCACATGCTTGATCCAAGTTTTGCTATCTAAATTTTATCTCAGGGGATCACGTCTCTGAAAACACTTAGCCTGTTTCCAAATTGGTCTAGAACAGCAATGACAAAATCTTTAAATTCTCTCCTTCTGTGGAACTGGCCTTAGGAATTTTTTATAGTCAGTTTAGTACAAAGGCTACTGGGTCAACAGGGTGAAGCAAGAGGAGAACAAGGTTACTGGCCAGGGCTTTCCATCTGTCATAGTGGGACCTGCTAGAACCTGAAGTTCTAAATAATTCCAAGAGTTTCAGAGGGTTATTCTCCTGATAGGAACACATTTCTCATGGCTGACTTTCTTAGTTAGGAGCTAATAATATCTTCAATCTACTTGCCTTTTACAGACATATGTGACACAAAGTATGGATAATTTCTGCTGAATTGAGCCTGTAATGAAAGAATTTATAATCAGTTCTAATATATTTGAGACCTAAAGTATATTAGCCCTTCATCAAAGGGAATGATAAAAAGCAGCATTAATTTGGGAGGATAGTAATTATTTCAGAACTCATAATTATTTTCCAGTTAACTACAGAGAAATTCTGGTATATTTATTCCTGTTTTCAAAAATATAAACACCACGGTCAGATACTAAAATGTAAGAATGTATCACACGTTCTTTGTTAAAAGCCAATACTTTGAGTTACCCTTGTGTTAATCACAAAGGAACTGTTTGGAATTAAATAAATTCTAAATTCATGGCTAGGAATTCCCTATACCTTACTTAGTTCTGTTGTTTCACCACTGAATCTATTTATTGCCTGTAGGAGTTATAAAATATAGTAATTACTCTCACTCCCTTTCAAAATGACATGAAGTCCACTTTCCTATTAACTCTAATGAGAGTTATGTGTGTGCTCCTCAGGGAGGAGAGACCCAATCCGGCTTTAAGGTAGAATAAATCACTTCTACACTCAGGTTTTAGTGGTCTCATTTGCTTTATATTTTGATGCTTTAAGACACACATTTTAAACTGCTGGTATTGGAAATACAATATTTGTTGCTTAAAAGAAGCATAAGCTGTGGTTGGAATGCTATTAAAGATTTCTATTCCTGTTCAGAGGTTAAATGTTTTATGCTTGGAGAAATCATGTCACTCAACTCTAGGAACTCATGATCCCTAAAGTTTGGCTATTTTTCTAAGAAATTCAATACCAACTACTTTTTATAATATTTTTTTGCTACTTACAGTGTTTTAGTACCAGTAATTACTTCAAGATGCTGTAACAGTTTAGAATAAAGGGAATTTAGGCAGAGTAGCTGTATTAAGAGGGAAGGGACTCCCAAGGCAGTGGGCTCTTTTGTTTCCAGCATAGAAATAAGGAGACTTGAAGTAGCATGGGGATCTGTTGTCATGGTCTACAGGATGTTTTATTCTATAGATGTTTCCTCAAAGAAATCAAAATTAAGTTTCTCAGTTTGTAACGGTGGACCCTCTTAGATATTTGTTCCCAGTGTCTTTAGGCACAGAGATAAAAAGGAAACCTGTTTTCTTTCTTCATCTAATTGCTTTTGCCAAAAACTGTTACCAACTCTCTTCTTCCCAAGGAACCTTCAATAATCAGATGTACAAAAAATTCTTGAAGTTAAGAAAACCCAGTTATGCTGAGATCACTAAAATATGACTGGAATCCATACTTTGGTAAAAATTTAGTATCATTTAATAATAAAGTTTATTTAATTCCAAAAAATGCAATTTTTTAGTTGGGAGAACTTAACACTATAATGATGTCCCCATGTATTTATTTTTAATTCATTCATTATATACATGTATAGGTATACATATATGAATATTAATTTACACAACTTTTGTGGTGGGGGTACTCTGGAGGAAAGGCATTTTTTATTAGTGTATACTAATTCTACAAAGGCATTTCACTGTGATACTTCCCCACATGCATACAATGTACTTTGGTTAAATTCACCCCCCTTTACTCTTTCTTGTTCCCCTTTCCTTCGTCTTTTTAGTTTTTAGTGGGTTTCATTGCGGTATTTTCATGCATAGGTATAATGTACTTCAATCATGTTCACCCCCCCCCAACATTCTCCTTTCCTCCTGCTGGTGGTAGTTACTCCCACAAACAGTCTCCCTGTGTATTTTTGATGTTGTATCAATATCTATATCTGTTTCTAATTCTTCAGATTTACTACAGTATGTGCAATCATCATCCCTCATCAGTTAAGAGGCACACAACTTCCTGAGTAAGGAAAAGATAATACCTAATGTAACATAAGCTCAATCAACCATTCCATTCTCAGAAAAATTCTCTTTCTCTCTCTCTGTATATAGAGAGATCATTTCTATGACATCTCTACTTAGGCCACCCAGAGCCGAATAAGAGAACTGTGTCCCATGTGCAAAGAATGGGAAGATCATGTTTAACAAAAAAATTTTCTTACTATTGCATCCCACACAGGTCTCATGCTTACAATCTTGCAAGCCTGTGGAGCATTGAAAACCTTTGACTCAGTAACTGTAAATGACTTCCAAGAGAAACCATGTAAATTTCTTGGATACCCTAGGAAGAGAAAGAAATACACTTCCACCAGAATTGTCCAAGACAGATATCTTACAGAGTTCTAAACAAAATGAGGACACTGATTTAATTGTGATAGGTTGCACATGTGCCTCCAAGTATTAACAAACTCACAATTCATCAAAATAATTTTGAGTTCACCTCACTGATTTCTTAAATATAGCCAAGAAATAAGTACATTGAATAATTTAACTAAAATGGAAAAGTAAGTAGTGGTTTTGGCTCTAATAAATACTATTGTACTCAATTTGCATTGCTAACCAGTAAATAAAATCTTAGGTATAAAGTATCCTAGAAAATAGAAATGTAGAAAAATGATTTTGTAGTCTTCAGGTAATTACAGAATAATTAAGAGCCTGGAAATATAATTTTCTGAATCTGCTACTTTCAATTATGTTTTAAACTTGTGAATGCTTCAAATACTGTATTCTGATTCAGTGATTTTTAAATTTAACTTTAAAAGTATATTTTTTTGGAAATGTGGCAACATAGACGCATGAACATCACATAATCCTATACCGTTTGCATTTAACAGGATCATATTAAAGCAATGTAGATATGTATGAACTTGTCACTGAGCACCAGTTAACAAACTGTTACTCTCATCTATGTTTTCAATGGAATGATTGCTTACAGGTGTGATTATAAATTTGATTATGTACAGTTCCTCTGTCTTTACTTGGAATGACCTTGACATCATGATCTTACTATTGAAGTACTCCATAAATCCCTCTAATTACATCATCAGTTCTGCTTTTCCAATATTTTGATCTTTGCCAGTTAGTGATATTTTTTTAAGGCTGTCTCTCTGAGTTGATGAAACATAACTGTGTTTTACCTTATTTTTTTCTCTTCTGTTTCCGGGATGGTATTTTTTATTCTTTGACCGTTATTGTAGCAGATTTACTTTTGAATTACAAAAATAAGACATAGTAATCTGTGAAAAGACTTGGTAGTCTTTCTCAAAATGTTTAACAATCCTTTCCTAAAATGTGTGCTTAGAGTTAATGCTTGCTTCTTTACTATTTATATTATTGAAATCCACACATGACTTTCAGTCTTTCCTTTTTCTGTGACTCATTTTATGCATGATAAAACTCTCTTGCATACTGTTATGTGGTTGGCTGTCTTTTAACTTGAGTGTCCTGTGTTTGTAGTGATTGCCTTTTGCATGAGAATTATGAAATGTCATAGAAATTAAATGGTCGTGGAAATAAAAAGAGAATGTGGGGCTTCACTTGCATTTTTGTGTGCTGAGTATGTCAGTTATGTGACACTTAAAATTACTTTCATTTGGCCTTTGACTCCCCCTTTGGTGTGTTCCTTTATTCTAGTAAATTAGCATTGTTAAGTATATAAAACATTTATTAAACATTTACAGTATTTTAATACAATTATTCTTCTAACACATTATCCTATTATAAATGACTATACTGGGCATGAGATTGCAAGAGAGCAAAACTCCATTATATTACTAATTGATAATGAAATATAAGCCCTGACTCTGTAACTATCTTAATAGCTAAATGTTGATTTCTGTTGATGGTACCTTTTCCCTGCCAAGTGATGAGATTATCTGTTGGCATAATTGCACAGGTGGCAAATGTCTTAAATCCACAGCTAATATTTAAATGAAAACACATGGGGAAATGTTTGTGTAATGACAAGTAATTTTAAAAAGTCACAGTTCTTGAAAATGTATAAATTAAAAATGTGTAAAATCCAAGTGTTAATTCTCTCACAAAACAGAAAAAGAATAGACTAAAAATGTTCATATCTGTATTTTCCCTAATGTTCTTATCTTGTCCCAAATTAAAGAATGAATTTGACCTACTTTCTTTTTTGTTGTCACCAACTTAAATTAGAAAAGACACTGAATAAATTAAGTTCTTTTAGCTAATAAAACAGGTTTTTTTTATATGTAGTGGGTACTTTTAAAAAAATCATTTCCTTTGTTTATGATTGGAGTTTCAAATCATAATGTGTTTTTTATGCCAGATATGTTCAAAAACCAAATATCTGAGATATTTGGGGGGAAAGGCTTTTTTTTTTCTTAAACAAAATTATCAACTATGATGTAGTCACTTCCCCACTCTTTTTGAAAAAATCCTTGAGAGTTTTAGTACTTACAATTATTTTTTTTCCCCTCAGTCTTGTTTATTCTTGAATTGTCTTTTTTTCCCTCCATTTCTCCATTCTCAATCCTAGGTCCCCTTACAAAGAAACAGACAGATGATTTAGGTGATAATGACGGTGCTGAAGATGAAGGTATTTTTTTCCACCAAATCTATTTGCATGACCAGGGCCTCAATCACTTTTTCCACCCCTTTCTATTTTTTTACTTCTTGTCTTTTTTTGAAGAGTTGTTTTTAATTCCCGTTTTTGATGTGTTTTGTCTTCTTGCTTGTTGTTACATATAAATATACATTTTTAATTTTTTAAAAGAAATGAATGTTAAGTTTTACATTTTGATGCAACCATGAAAGTGTTTTAAAAAGAGGGGCATTTTTTTGTTTTCTTGAACTGACTTTTGATATGTTTCATCCCACGTTTTGACAAATTTGTCCACATTCTTTTGAACTAACAATTTCTCCCTTGTAGTCTCTTTGTGACCATTTTGCATGTTTTCTAATCTATGTAAATATTTTAGCCAATATCAAAATGTGTTTCATTTTTGCATCTGACATTTGTTGAAAAAAGAAGCCCATGCCCAATAAAATGAAAAACAAACTGAAAGCTGATATAAAGTGTTTCTTGAGCAATGTTTTAGATTTGCAAATACTGTTTTCTGCTGATTTGCTTAAATAGCACATAGTTAAAATGAAATTGTACAGATAACAGAAGGTATCATAGCTATTTGTGTAAAAGCAGTAAACATTGTACAGCTATGCAAGTCCTCTGGGACCTTAATAGTTATTTTGTTAAAGTATACAGGTTTTATAGCAAGATTAAATGGATAACCTTTCACTTTATAGATTGACAAAGAAAATATTATGATTTTCAAAATATTTCCAACCAGAGGCAATAAAACATTTCCTGATTCATTAATATCAAATCATTTCCTCTTTCCCACTTTCATATGACATGTACTTCTGATTTACTTTGTATGCCTAAATACTCACGAGATTGACTTGACTTTTCTCATTCCACTGTGTCTTTACTTGGTGGTTAACCAAGTGTTTAGAGAAGCCTATGGATTCTTTCAGCTCATTTTGGTTCCATTCAGGATATAATGGCAAATGTGCATCTTTTTTTTTTAATGTTACCCTAGTTCTAACTTTTACCTAACAAAAAATATGCTTTTGTTAAGATAACAAAAAAAAATGCCAGATTTAATAGTGATTTCTCCAAACATAGCAACACAAGGTATTAATAATCTTTTAAGACAGGTTTTCTAAAATAAATTAATCCACAGCCAGGTCAGAAGAGGTGTCAGTCCTGCAAATTGTAAGGAATCCATGCGTTAATGACTACACAACATGAATTGTTTACATTTAAAATTTTTATTGTTACATATCTAAAAATCATTTTATAGTAGAAAGTTAGGTTTGATGTTAATATTTTTATACCACTTAAGAGCTAATTTTTTTTTCCAGTACTGGAGTTTGAGCTCAGGGTGTACACCTTGAGCCACAACACCAGTCCTTTTTTGTGATGGGTTTTATCAAGATAGGGTATCATGAGCTATTTGCCTGACTAGGCTGGCTACATAATGTGATATTCCTGATTTCTGCTTCCTGAGGAGCTAGGATTACAGGCGTGAGCCACCAGCTTTTAAGAACTAATTTTAAAAGAAATTTATATTTGATTAAAAATATATTTATTATGAACTCCAGCAGCAGACTAAAGACTAGATACACAAAACAGTCATTAGTATATGAAATAAATCAGTACAGCTACCCAAAAGTTATCATTTTGGATGATAAAAAGGTAAAAGCAAACTTATAATAACAAAATGCAAGTTGTGATTTTTTTTCATTGACTTTTACTTATCAGTGCTTTAAAGATTGTTTCCCCTTCCAGGCCTTAGTGTTTGTTGAAATCTCTGAAAATCCTATATCCTGTCTATTTGTTACCTAAATAGTACTTAAAGTATAAAAGGTTTCTTAGTGAACATCTTTGTCAATTCTAAAACTTACCCATGTAGTCAAAAAGCTATATATCATTTCCCTATTTTAAAAATATTTTGGTTGCTGACTAAATGTGATTTGCTTTTCTTTTGGTAAAAAGGTGCCGAGAATGACATTTGCATGTTTAGAATAGATTTCTCTTAGCAACCATAGTGAGTTAGTCCCTGTAAACATGAATCTATTTTACAGACTTGCTTTGAAGCACATTTAACATTTTTAATTATCCATTAAAAATATCCTAAACCCCTGTTTAAATTGACATTTAATATTCAGTATTCAGGTTAAGTACTAAAGCCACTCTCACAAGAGTTATCAAGTCAATAAATATTTTTAAATGCTTAAAAGTGTAGAATGTCAAGGTATCCAGTTGTAGTTCAATCTATGCTTCTCTGCTTCATTGGATAATTGTTTTGAAGAGAAGCAAGATGAATTCAAATATCCCATGGAAGAAAATTTTTTAGAAAAGCCTGAGCATTCTCTATTCAATTTCTTTTAGAGTTATTTTGTAGACGTAGGTGTGAATAAAAACTGAGTCTATTTTTCACATTTAATTTGTTCCAAATGTTAAATTAATGTCACTGGATGTAAAGCAAAGAACATAAATTACTTGATGAATTACTCTTTTTCTTTCACTCAGAAGTCAGGTTATCGGATCACTTATGTGAAATTGTCCATTATTTCCCGATACCCCTAACACCTTTATCTGATTTTCAGGTCCCTATGTCAGCCCCTGCATTCTGAGGTTGTCTGTGATCATCACCAAGCCTTGCTTCTTATTTGCTAAGGCTTATGCAAGGGTTCCTGTTGGTGACTGTTACTCACTGCAAAATCTCCTGTGTCCCTCCCATCACTCTGTTGCCATCTCTAAACCAAGCACAATTGTACCTTTTTTCATTTGTGTTTTATAATAATCAAAAGAACTATATATCTTATAGGCCATTTCCATAGTTTAAAAAAGACTAACTCTGAAGGAACAAAAATGGTTCAAAGCAAGATCCCAGATTTCTTCCGATTTAGTTTAGGAATTTAGGAGATTAAAAAAAAATATTTCGTTGTGTGAATACTTCCACATTAATATGTAAATGCAATTTTATATTCTGTGTAGAACTTTGTAAAAATTGCTCTGCAGCTTTTGTGTGTTTTTTAACTAAAAATGTTCCCTGCATTAGGTTTAGTTTAACAAGAACAAATTCAACCAAAACTTCTATATAATTTTGGTGGTCCTGAATGATAATTGAGGTCCAGAAAAATGAGTGGGAGGCACAAAAATGTCTTGAAATATTCTTTGATGCATCAGAGAAAGATTTAAATGAGGCAATGCTTCACAGGTTCAAAACTGTTAATACACAAAAACTCTAAAATATGGGCAATTAACCATTTAATGAGTTCCTAAGAAGTAAGAAACCAATAAACATATTTAAGGAGTTAAATAACTAATAATTATTCACTAGGAGCATTAAAGTGAATTGTGATCCCAAACCCTGGTTGTCTTGATGGCACAAATAAATCCCCATTATCTGCTCTAGACCTATTGACACTTGACACATTGCTGTAAATTTTTGATTTATCCAGGATGATACAGTTACTATAGTTTACAATCAAGTTTTCTACTTAGAGTCCATGATCATAATTTTATTCGCCTGAAAACTTAATTAAAATATTTTCTTAAAAATTTAGAAGAAAACTAATCATCAAGGTAATAACTTCCCTGGACTGTCCTACTCCTTCCAAAGCTGTATGTGTTTTAACAAGGCTTGAAAACATTAGAAACAACAGAAAATCCAAACATGCCTGATGAGCATCTGCAGTTTTACTAGAACTGTGCTAGTCTTTCAAGATCTTTGAGAGTGTTCTGCTGATTTTACTAATGTAAGTAGCACCTGCTTAATTAGTCAAAGTCAGAAATCCCAGGTAAAGTACACACTTTATAGGTTCCACCTTATTTATAAGTGATTAAAGAAGAGGCAGAGTTTAGAAGAACAATTTTGCTTAAAAACTTCAATATAAATTACTAAGGTGCGTTTAATATATCCAGTGGAGGATAAATACTCCCCTAAAATTTGATTATCATAAAGATATATGAGACCAGGCACAGTGGCTCATATCTGCAATCCCTACAAGGAAGTAGAGGAAGGGGAGAGAAGAATAACTGCAATTCAAGGCCACTCTGGGCTAAAAGTTAGTGATATACCTCATATCGACCAATAAAGCTGGTTGTGGTGGTGTATACATGTCATCCCAGCTATTCAGAAAACATAAGCAAGAGGATTACTGGTCTAGAATGATCCTGGCAAAAATGTGAGACCCTGTTTCAAAAATACTAAAGCCCAAAAAATGGCAGTGGCCCAAGTAGTAGAGCACTTGCCTAGTAAGGGTGAGGTCCTGAGTTCAAAACCCCATACCATAAAAAAAAAATCATGGCATGAATGATAGCATTTAATGGTATGTTATCTAATACATCTGCTTCATTTATAAAAATCTAACTCTTTTTAAGAAGAAAGTAGTTATAATTTGAACTGTGTACATTTAGTATTAGAATAAAAAAACTTATGGATTATAAACAAGTAAAGTCTAGGGTGTTCTCTGATAAAATATGATTGAAATTCCAATTACTTTGTGTTAGGAAGATTTCTTGGAATTCTGAAGTTTCTCCAACTTTACTAGTAGTATTGAGGGTTGTTATATACAGGAATTTTATCTATTTTAATAATTAATACTCTTTATAGAATTAACCTCAGAGTTCCTTTAAGCCAAAATAAGTATTTTGCAGCACACAGAATTAGAATTTTATAGAACTTTCTGGAAAAGAACTGCTCAATGTACTGAGTAAGTTCTGAAGCAAGGCTGAAATCTTTGAAGACTTTGAAAAGAGAAATTATGAATTAGAATCAACCCAAGCTAGTTCTTTCAAGTCTAGTTTTTAAAGAAAAAGAAAGAGATTCCACTAAAAAAATCTCCTAGATTCTCTTGTCATGTTTCAGCATTCCTGACAATGTCCACTTCATTGTGTTATTAGGTATAAAATGTGGCAGGTCTTCTCAACGTGTGCCTGCATTGTTTTCCAGGTGAACAGAATGGCTCTACGAAGATTTCATTACTGTTCACAGTTGGTGCTTTGTAATTCTATGTAATTTTAATTAAAGAAGAATTCTGAAACAGCCTCCCTCTGTGCTACCTCCAAGCATACAATTAGCAGAATACAATGTCTGCTGTGAATAGTCACTTAATGATTTCAGTTTAATAATTTATTATTGCTTCTTCAGTGCCAACCACACTAGAAAAATAAGAAGTTAAAACTGCATGTAGCAAACAACAGGCATTTAAGCTGCACAGTTTAACTATTTCTAAAGCATTACTTTATCTGTGTAAGTCTAACATACCCCTCAAGCCCCCAAATCTTCACAGAGGAGTGAGAACCATTTTCCCTCCAAGAACTGCAGGAGAAAATAAATGTAGGTTTGGTTTCCCTCTGAAATGTAGCTGTATCTAGCCCATGACTTCTTTGTCAAAGCATCCTCCTCTCACTGCTTAGATACAAGCATCCTTCTGAAGTACACCTGGGAGAGGGAGGGCATGGCAGTAGATTTGTACATTGGCAATAAGTCAATTTAAAATCGTCTTTTTCACAAGTCTCTAAGTTCTGCCATGAGCCATTTCCTCAATTCGAAAATCTGGATAAGCAAATTTAGCTGCAGTTCTGATTCTGAAATGATTTTTCATTTAAATAAATCATTTTATTATTATGAGAGAGAAATTGAGGCTTTTAAATTAGTCCCTTTTTTATAAAAAGTTTAAAGAAGTACCTAAATAATCACAAGTTCTTTCAACGAATTTGAATTTTTCCATTCTGAAAGTTGGGGACTGAGTTTTAAAATTCCAAGAGAGTTTAGATTAAAAACAAAACAAAATAAAAAACCCCCAAATCAAAAGTAAAGAACAAAACCATACTTTTAAGTGACACTTTCAATATTGGCCAAATATATGCTTAATGTAATTTTAATTGTGGATGTAAGAGATCACGGGATGCTATATAATAATAGTGTTTTTCTCGTGGATAAGTTTATAGTCATATAAATATATATATATATATATATACATATAATATTTTAATATACATAATACTTAAAAATCAATATATAGGCTAGGGCTTTTTTTCTATAGAATTTAGTGTTTTTTTCACAATGATTAAAATTATCCTATTTCCCCACTGAGCACCAGTGGCTCATGCCTGCAAATCCTAAGTACTTGAGAGGCTGAGATAAGGATGATAGAAGTTCCTGGCCAGCCTGGACAAATAGTTCAGGAGACCCTATTGCCAAAATGTCCTGGAAGCGTGACTCAAATAGTAGAGCACAGCTTTGCAAGTGTGAAGCTCTGAGTTATAACCCCAATCCCACACATAAACAAAATTATCCAGTTTCCCTTATACATTAGTCCCAGAGCCTTGTTGTGTTGAAAACTATATAATTATGGATTGGATTTCTGAAAATAATATGTGTTGTACTAAAATTTTCAGTTATAGAAATTGCCTTACTTTCTCTAAACTTGCCATTATACCTGAACTTATTTTGTCTGTCTTATGACTACACGATAAAAATACAGTGTCAAAGTCAGGATAAGAAGAGCACATTAGTTACAGGAGGAAGTGAAAAGAAACCAGTTTTTGTTCTTTTCTCCCAAAGATTAAGGGTAGGTGAGATGAAAGAATGGCCTGAACTCTCTTAAAAACATTATTTAAATGACATTTCCCTAAATGAAACAACTGGTGTTCATATGCTTAAGACTTTACTGACTAAACATTCATTTGACAGAACTTAAAGCAGTAAAATTAAACTTCTTGCAATGAATAATACAATACTGTAATTATGCTCACAAATGGGAGCATAAATGACTTAATGTAATCATGTTGCATTTCATATAAAGCTCTACAGTAAATAAGGGATGGAAAAACAGATTGTTTTACTCACAATAGCAATGATACCATTTTCTTTAATTTGTGGTTCATAAGTTCCATGTGAGGGCTATACAATTTTTAAAAAGTCTGAAAAGTCACTGTCATTCTCTTATATTTTTTGGTATAACTGTCACGTCAGGAATCAATCAAAATGAGCTGAAATTCATACCATTCAATTTATCCATGTTTTGCAATTCAGTTTATAATTTGTAAACAAAGTTTTAGATCAAAAACAACGGATGCCTATTGTTCTTTCCTTCAATAGCTCCTAATATGAGTTGTTTAAGAAACACTTTAAGAAAAACAGCAATTTTAAGAACTATATTAAAATCATGCCTTCTTGTCCTGAAAATGGGAAATGTATCTCTGTTTCATTATGTATGTTTTTAGAGGATAAGGACAATTGCCAACCATTTGTTTTTCAGATATTCGGGACAGTGGGGGTCCCAAACCAGTAATGGTGTATATCCATGGTGGCTCATATATGGAAGGTACTGGAAACTTATATGATGGGAGCGTCTTGGCAAGCTACGGCAATGTGATTGTCATCACAGTCAACTATCGACTTGGGGTACTTGGTAAGAAATCTGTTTTTTGCTTCACCATTAACCCACAAAGTTTGTGAGAGTTTTGTTCTGACATGTTTTGTTTTGTTTTGCTGTTTCACCTCCTATGCTTGTTGCCTTTTTTGAAACAAAATTTTTGGTAGTTTCCATGAGGTCTATAAAATGTTCACAAATTATGTTAGGACAGCTGAGGAAGACTTTAAAGTGTGAAACTGAAAGGTAATGAAATAATTCACATTGCAGGTTTGGCTTTATGGAACTATGAAAGGCAGCAGTGGCAAGGCTTTAGTAAAAAGGAGTTTTTCCTTCTACTTTTCTTTTTTACAATGTTATAAAATTGCCTGATGTTTGCCGTGAACTTAGAAGCAAGTTTATATTCTCTTCTAAATAGTTGCTGTATGGACTGGCTTTGGAGAATGATTGTTTTCTATCACTATGTAGGCTTTTTTTTTTTTCTTTTTTGGTAGCATAAAAGTTAGGAATACTTTGATTATTTAATTTGGAAAAATATGTTGCTTTCACAAGGTGATAAAGCATTCAATTCAATAATTCATACAGATCCCCAAAAAATTATAAAATAAGGTCAAAGTAGAAACCTTTAGATTTGAAGAAAAGTATAGAGAGATATTACTAATACAATATCGTCCCATGCAGTCTGAAGTAGGTGTGCTGTTTTGTGTAATAACCAATTCTCAAAAGATAAACTTGCTATTTTATCAGTATAAGTTTTTACAGTATTGTCATAATTTGAGGAGAAAATTTACTATGTCACTTAATAAACATTTTTATCTATTGTGCTTGCTAAAAGGCACAATTCATCCATAAAATGTTTTATACTTTAGTCTTAATTGTTCTCAAAATTTTATTCCATCCTACAGATTCAAAGACATATAATTTACCTTTTTGTTTGGACAAAGCATTATCTCACTCTTTCATTTTTTATTGTAAAATATTTTGAAAGGAAATATAATTATATTCTCTTTCATAATCATTTTAATATCATACATTTTGCCATATTGAGACTCATGATATTTGCTCTTAAAAGTTAGTTATTCCAACTTCTGCTATAATAATAATTCTATGTTTATGCTGATCACAAGATCTAAAAAAGATTAATTATTGTAATTAAGCTTATACATCTTAGGGAAGGAGATATTTTATCAAGATGAAAGTGAAGTCTTGATCTTTTTCTAGTTTGCTCTTTGGAAATTTGGAGTATGGTGAGTGATATAACAGATATATCAATATTGCTATAAAATATTTCTGCAGCATTGGTGAAGTGCACATTAGTTCTCCATAGTGTCTAATCATGCCTTCTTTGCGATAATTTTACAAACCAGGTAGGCAGGAATGAGTGTCTTCTCATTAGCAAAGCCTGTGTACTAGAAGATATATAGAGATGTTCATAGTTATGCTTAAATATCTTAGTCTCGCCATTTGTGTCTTGAAGAACATTTTAATATGAGAGCTTTCAATATCTTCCAAGTTTTTAATTTAAAATTTTATTATTTATGGTTTAGTTTTTTATTGCTCATAATTCTCACATTTTCCTGAATTTCTCAATTTGTAAATCTCGAGCAGTGACTAGTTTGCAGATTGAAAATTTTAAATTAATGCCAATTGTGATGGTAGAGTTTTAATGACTTGAACATCCAGTTACTTATATACACTGATTTTATTTAAAAAAATCTTTTGTCCATACCTTATGCTGCCTGTTTTTTAGCTAACTGTGCTCATTTACAGCACAATTTCATAAAGTGAGTATGTTATAACAATAGAAGCTTCACCCATTCTTGGTTTTCTTTTTCTCTGTTATTCTGTTTTTGATATATTCTGAACTGGTGAGGACTGGACATTGATCTAATTTGAATCCTAAATTCATGCCTATATCTTGTCTTTCAATGCCACACTGTGGTTGGATTATAGGACAACAAATTAACCAGCTTAAAAAATGAATAACATAAGCAATTGCTTGGTCTGTGTAATGGCAAGCAGTATTGGTTTTGATGAAGGATAATTTTTCTTGGTTTTAAATATTTGTTCTGGCTCTACTGGATTCTAAGATTTACCTTCGTTGGCTCCTTTATTCCTGTTAAAGACCTGTCCTGATCAACCCCAGGTTGTCCTTTACTGACCCCTCAGGATAACAAAGTACAAACCTAAGTTAATACAACGTTTCTAGGCATATTTTAAGACATCAATTCTAGAACAAAGGGATTCTGGTTACTTTCTTTCAAAAATATGTGTTGGGCCTTGTGAAATGTATTTAAGTGGATTAATTCATGAAAAAGAAATTATCAGAACATTTGTTTCAGCACCCTTTGCACAAGTGGCACACTACACCAGGATCAACAGCTCATCTCACAGGACTACAACAATGAGGACTGTAGAGTTTTGAGGTGGTTATTGTTAATAATTTATCTAATAGTGACAAGGTAAGCCAAGGTTTTTTGGTTGTGAGATCCAAAAGAACTGTTGCCTTGTTTGTACTTGGGTCAATGCTGAAAATAAAGAAGAAAATAATTTTGATCCTACATCAGAGGAAATTCTGAGCTCTAATTGATTCAGGTATTTTGTTGTAAAAGGAATTAATTTGAGGATGCAATATGCAAATTAATAATTGTAATAATATTGTTATGAGGTATTTGACAGACAAGTCAGCATATCTAGAATAGGTAATACAATTAGCATTGTTCTGAATTTGCAGGAGAGAAATCTTACAACCTTATCTTTCATTTTTGGTGATAAGTATAGATGTTTTAAAATTACCATTATAAAATTTATGTCACTGCTCGTGGTCATGGGTCTAGTTTAAAGCATTTCATGATTAAGAAACTGTTCATTACAAAGTGAGAATAGCAAAAAAGAAAATAAATAAGATAAATAGAATAAAACATTGCTCTGATGAGCTAGTTTAAAAAAAAGTCAGTTCCTCCATCAAGACCATTCATGGTTTACTTTACAGTATTAACATAGACCATCACTATTGCTGTGCTATGTATTTCTCCCCTTACAAATGCTATTAGTGGTGATTAGAGAAACTGCTAACAAGATTGTCAAAAAAAGTCTAGCAGGTGGAGACTCCACTTCTAATCTCACTTCTCCAGTTTTATCTTACAGCTCTTGGCAACCGTATCCTGTCTCAAATGCTAAACAGCTAGAGTTTCTTTCACTTCTTGTTATTTACACTTTTGTCCTCAGTCAGTTTTAACATAAACTCTTTCCACATTTGATTCCCTCTAGGTCTGTTATTTAATATATTATTACATAGTCTTTTAAAATGTATTTATAATAACTGGTAGTTGAATAATTTTTAATGTTCTAGTGTATGATAATAAAAATTATCATCTTGGTAACTTAAGGAGAAATGTTTTGATTATGTGTTCTTAAGGAGGAAAATCATCAACATAAAATGTTCTGATTGTAACCAAGTAAAAGTCTCTTACAAGCAAGCATTGAAGAGACTATAACAGGAGTTGTTCAAATTTCAGAAAATGAAAACTATATTAACTAATACAGTATTAAAAAGTATTTCAGCTATCTTTCTAAATTTAAGTTACTTTTAGAATCCTGTTGTGAGGATCTAACATAGGCAAACATAATATTTCTTATCTGACTGAAATTTAATGAGTTACTTTTCTATTTACATGGATAACTTGGAGGCAATTATGCCATAAATGATTCTCGCCCATGTGATTTATTTTAGAAAAAATGTTTAAAAAATATTTTAGAAGTACTGATATCTATCTGGTAATTTTTTGAATGAATATCTAATTAAATATTTACTCACTAATACAATGTCTATACCACCCATCCATGAAAAAACATTTAAAGCACTGTCCCATCGACTTGTATGTGAGTAATTACATTTAGTTTACTTCATTTTCTCAAATAGGTCTAAATAGTTTTTTAAATTTATTAAACTTTACTACATACTTATTTTAATGTACTTCCAAATGTACTTTTATTCTTTGGACTTAATGAGATTTGCTGATTCTTCTAGCTAGATTGTCTGTGCAGTAGTACTGTAAGACAAATGACAGAATTAACTATTACTTTGGTGTGAACAGTTAACACATAGATAAAAGTTAACTCAGCATTATATATTTTCTATGAGGAATAAAAAGTAAGGGCAACATTGTCCTTATTTTTTAAAGAGCTTTTAAATTAATTGAGAAGAAAAATAATCAATGGAGAATAATAATTGTCATTCTACTTTATATTACAATATGTGTTTATTCATTCATTTATATGTACATAGTCATGTTATACACAGAGAGAAAAATTCAGAACCACAAAAAAAGGAAGGAAGCTTGAAGCCTAGAAGCAAAGAGATCTGCTAACATCAATGTAATGCTCTTAACTTTAAAAAAAAAACATATTTAGTTTATCTAGTAATGAAATGTTTTGTTATTTATATTTTTGTTTTTCCTGGATTATCTTGCTTCTATCTGGCTTTAACTAAGAAAGCCTCCAAAGGTGACCTTATACTTAAGTGTATTTATAATCAAACATCAAATTTTATATGATTATAATTTCCTACTATATGTTTAAGTGTGATTTTGAGGCATAAAAGTAGAGTGGGTCTGTCTGTCCTTGGAATCCAAAATGTCTTCTTGAAATTTCTAGTGCTTGAGAAAGGCCACAAGAGTGGTTTATCTCTGGGATTAACTGAAGCAAAAAAAGAAGGACTTCCTTTCTTTTCTTCTCCTTTATTCATATTCCTTCTTCTTTGAAGTAATTTCTGACAAATGCACACATATAACTGGGTTGCAAAAATCATGTTTCAGTATTATGTAGAACTGAGCAAAATGCATGTTCTAGTATTCCAAGAGCACAGTAGAAAGGATAATTGTCACTGCCATGAAAACAAACATACATACATATTAACCAGAAAAATATCTAAATGAAATTTTGCTCATGCTACATTACAGAGAAATTTATCATATGATCTATATCATTTTTATTTGGAGCATGGAGCAATATAGGAATTGTGGGATAGTATTCATAGT